ACTTGCTGCTTTGTTCTGCCTGCATTTTCCTGTTCTTATAAAATATGTTCAGATCTGAGAGTCCACTCTCAGAGTCTCCCAGATGCCAGGAGTCGGACCAGAGATGTTCAAAAAAGGTGTCTTTCTGGATCACGATTCAATAAGAACACATGTCTTTCTAGCAATCTTATTTTTTAGTCAGCTGAGGGACTGATAATTTGACTTCAGGAGTTCATAAGCCCGGCATTACTTCTGAGAAGTTGTTACTCTTCTATATAGAGATTCTTCTAGTTTATTGTGTAATAAAACTCTCCAAGAAGACCCATGTGCTCCCTCCTACCTCCCTTTGCATGCAGACTGAAGGTTGCCTGCTTTAGGACCAATCACAGCTTGTTGCCCCATCCAAAGTGTGTAATTTAATGAACTGTAGTTTGTTTATTTGTTTGTTTTCAACCCATGAACCAGGATTCTAAGCTAAAAAGAAACTATAATCAGAATCCTGGTTTATAGACAAGGAAAAAAGTTCCGGATTCAAATATCAAAACAAATTGCATATTGTTGTAAGTCAGGACAATTTTAATCTTGCCATACGGCATGAGGGGAGGGGAGGGAGTGTGTGAGCCTGAGGCATGTTCTCTGTAGTGATAGAACAATGTGTTCATAATATTGGCATGCCCTTCAAGAACTGGTTAAATAAGTGATGGTAACTACAGGCAATGTTCCCTCCAAGCTGTGGAATCTTGTGAGCAAAAATTCTACTCTGTGAGCTACTGGCATGAAATTTGTGAGTGAGCAATTTGGCTACTGCATAAATTAGTTGGCTCTGGAGTCATCCTTCCTGAGCAAAGACAAAAAACTGTGAGCTGGAGGCTGAAAAACTGTGAGCTAGCTCACACTAAGCTTAGAGGGAACGCTGACTACAGGACAAATGGCTACTGTGGAACAATCCTAGCTGTTCCACCTTTGGACACCTTTGGAGAGCTCACTTTGCAGCAGGAGTGGGGTGTTTTTGTACAGTCTTGAGAATGAAAAGGAAAGTAAGCCTGTGTCAATGTAGTCCTACTGACTTCTCCTCGGCACTTGCAGGACGGAGGACAAACAAACCCATCAACGGTGAGACAGTCTTTTGGTGGCGTGGGGAGGAACGTGGCAGGTAACTCACTCTGATTACGCTCTCGGTGTGGTTATCATGGTCAGTGTGTGTATAAAACCAGTTTTTAGTGGCCAGACTTTAGGAAACCACAATTCACATACCTCTGAGCCTGCATCTTTCCCTTGTCTGACTGAGATCTCTCTGCTCGGTTGTGAATGCCCCCCACACACACACACCTGTAGTGTTGCACTTCATGTTCTATCCTGTGCTGAATCCACATGGGCCTGCAAATGGAGCTGTTCCGCCAGACTTTTAGTTGAGGCGGCGGACACCCACTAGCTGGCCTCCCTGTACAGAGCCCGTATAGAGACTGCCCTGCACAGAAGCAGTCTGGATCAAGGGTGGCCAAACTTGCTTAACGTAAGAACCACAAAGAATAAACATCAGATGTTGGAGAGCCACAAGACATGAACAAACATTACACGTTTTTACTGGGAAATATGCAGATTTGCCTTTTATTAGCATTAAATGAGACTGCCAAAAATAATAACAAAAGCGGTAAAAGCAGGTACTGATAATGATATTTATTTGTCCAATGATATTTGTTTGCTAATGATGTTTAACTTCCCCAGCCACCCTGCTGGGAGCCGGACAATGTGTGTGAAAGAGCCGCATGCGGCTCCCGAGCCACAGTTTGGCCACTCCTGGTCTAGATCATCTACCTACGAAGTCTTGGGGTGTTTTTTAGGTTTGGCTCCAAGATCATCTGTCTCGTTTTTGGGGGGGGGGGGGTTGAATTATCGCTCGCCATCTTTTAACTGATTAACTGTTTCTGGTTTTAGTTGTTTTTAGATTGTGTTAACTGTTTTTTATTGTTATGTTTTAATGTTACGCACCCTGAGCCCATTTGGGAAGGGCAGGATCTAAGTTTTAAAAAGAAATATCCTCCTATTGTTTTCAGATGCAACCACAGCCAGCATCAGCATACCCCGAGGTGGGGCAGATGACAAGGCCTGTGGCTGGCCCACTGGCTAGGGCCCACTGCTGCTTATCCATGCGTCTCCTCTGATGCCTGTGCTCACACGCTTCCATTACCTACTTGTGAGTGCTTTGTTGCTTGTGCTCCCAGCTGCATGTACTGTCCAATGTCGCATTTAGGGCCAAGCCTGGCACTGTTGTTCTATCTGGGGTTTTCAGGATACGCAAGTAACAATAAGCACAACAATAGGTACAGAGGCAAGGTCTACAAACCAGTCTGGAGTCAGAGATCGCAGGTCCAGTCCAAGGGGGAGGGTAAGGAGGGTCAAGGGTTCAAAGGTCCCAGAGCTGGGAAACAGGTGCAGGATGCAGGGTATGGGTCCCAGGCTGTAGGAGCAAGCACAGGTTACCAGCAACAAGGTACAAGGCAGCAGGTCAGGGCAGAGCTCTGTTTGCTAGGCAGGTCAGCTTCACAGCAGTGTAGCAAACAAGATTGCTTCCACACCAAGCCTTGCTCAGTGTGTTCCTTTTATCAACCTCCTTTGCCAACCCGTGAGACCCAGGTGTCACTCCTTACAGTTGCATTCACCTTCCTACGGGTGCAGGTCTTTGCTGTTTCCCTATCAGCCTGTAAGTCCTGGTCGTGGAAGGACTCTGCTCCAGGAATTAACACTGATCACTGCTGAGTAATCAGGCGAGCGCTTTGCGTTCTCTCTAGAGCTGTCAAATGCTTTACGCTTTGCTGGTTCAGGGGAGGCTGGCAGAGATGGAGACTTCAGCCTCTGTGGAGTCTCTTTCTTCTCCTGGAAGACTGAGCACCCTGGCCACGACCAGGAAGTGTTTTCACTTCCCGAAGATTCCCCCTTTGGGTCTGCTGCTGGACCCAGCTGCTCAGGTGGGGATTCCATTGACACTTAGCACTGCTGGAGAAGGGCATGGGCGTGGTGCACAAAGCATCAGTGTTCCTGGTGGCCATGGCAATGGCACTCCTAGCTGCCATCACCACCACCACCCACCTCCATCAGGGAAAG